ATATAATATATAACTGATAACTCTTAGTTCTTTTATAAGGATACCTCGAATCCTTATATAAAAGAACTAATCCCCTATATACTATACTTACAGTAAATTGATACTTAAAGTACTTGATAACAATGATAAAATTTGAAATATCACTTTTCAAATATCATAAGATTGACATAGAAATCTTTATAAATAAGTTACATTATTTTATACATTTAACTCACATTCTGACTAGCTGTATTACTGCTTAATGTTTGTTGATTATTAATGTCAGACAAGTCCGCAGAATGTTGCCCATCTTCGATATTGCTCATATAAACATTATGTTCCATTAATCCTTCATTCTGTTCTTCCTCAGTATTTTTATATGTATCACTCGAATTGCTTGTAGACTGTTCTTCTATTATACGTTCTGCAAATTCATCAAAATCTTGTTCTTTATATAGTATATGTATATAGTAATACTTTTATTCATACTTTTCTCTCATTTATTAGTAAAAATAATGAAAACACATGTTAATTAAACATATTACACTATTCATTTTATTTATATTAAATAAAAGGTAATTATAAACGGTATTAAATAAAAGAAATTATGTAATTTTAATTAATAACACTAATAGCTATAGTCATTGTATTCAATTAATTTTACATAAAATTAATAACATTCTAGTTTAATTTTTTGTAATAAAAATAGAAATGCAAGATGAAGTGGAAACCTTTACCTGCTCTGCGCTTATTTTCATCTTCAAATTCTAAACGTTTTCGCACTCTATGTTTACGGACATGAACTTTCGTTAATTTTCTCTTATACATTTCTCACACAGATTACTTTAATCAAAGACACAAAATAAAGTACGTTAACAAAGATGTTTGTTCACAGTTAATAGCACGAGTTCACTTTTCAGGCGCGAACTGAATTCGGCGTTAGAGCGAGAGAATGTCCGATACGAGAAGCGCGGGTCGAGATAGTTCTAAAGTCCAGGAAACACAGCGAGAGTCGTTATAAGGCGTTCAGAAAATAGCGGTTTGCGTTAGCGAGAATAAGCGGTACTGCGGAAAGCTAGAGGCGATCAGCCACGAACGGGGTCCGCAGCTCTAATTTATTAGACTGCGAACCCCGTAACAAAGGTGGTCTAAGCCAATTATCACTGCGTAGCCGGTGACGAAAGGCTTTCTTCTCGCAGCGAGTGTCGATTGGGCAGCGATGGCGTGCTCGCAAGAGCGGCGCGTGTCCGCTAATATCGACTTACAAGTGCCAAATAATTGTCGCGGGTATTATTGTTAAGGGTCATTTGCCCTGAGCTTGTTTGTCTAACTTGCGACAAACAAGCTCAAGGCTCTTGATCTACCGAGCAAATGTTTTAGAAGCGCGTCTCCAACAGAGTTTGCTGGGTCTATCTTCTATTAGCGTTTTCGATTTGCTGACTCGACCCGACTCCGAGTCAGAAAACCGAAAACGCTATATGTCTATGCGTTCAACGCCCGCTGTGATCGACTCTCGCACCGCGACCGCGCGGCGCCCGTCAAATCCGAGCCGAGTCCTGCCGGTGACTTTCACCGCAACCGGCGAACTCAAAAATATTTTCAAAATTCGCCCAGACATCTAACAAACAAGTCGGGCGACAACGGTCGCTCGGGCGAAAACGATTCCTCTCGACACAGTCGTCCTGAGAACGCCGCGTAGGTAACAGGTTTCTTTCAGCCTCGAACAAAGGCACCGATTTTAACCTCCGCGAACGCGACTCATTCGACAATTCCGCCGGCCAGTTCGCGTGCCGTTGTGTCGCGGCTTGTGCTAACGCGTTCAGTTTAAGTGACCGATAATAACCCCCGGCTTGATTTCTTGTTCCACGTCCAGATTCTTCCTACGTGGTGATGGGATCGGCCGCGGACGTGCGAGTTCCGATTGAGTGCGCGCGTGATTGCGGCATTTGAATCCTTCGCGGACTGTCGTTGGAAGAGCAGGTCTGGTGCAGTTCGAGCATCCGCGCGAGAACGTCGAACTGCGACCGACCGCCCAGGCCAACGGCCTTTTTGAGTGCGCTATAATATAGTGATCTTCGTCGGTCCGCGACGCGCGAACGGGAACGATCCGAAAAACTAAAATCTTTTATGTCATTAACAATATATATGTATATATGTATTTATCATCTTTTTTAACACTTGACTCTCATTGCCCTTTTTAACATTGATCAGTGATTATTGTCACAGTGGGCGGTCGGTCGCAGTTCGACGTTCTCGCGCGGATGCTCGAACTGCACCGGACCTGCTCTCCCAACGACAGTCCGCGAAGAATTCAAATGCCGCAATCACGCACGCACTCAGTCAGAACTGTTTTCGCACATCCGCGACCGATCCCGTTACCGCGTAGGAAGAATCCGGACATGGAAAATGAGTTCACTGACAAAATCAGTGAAATTTTCACTAATTCATTTTTAGAGAGTACAGGATCAACATCCGTAAAGCGTGGTCTACAATGGCAGTAGGAGTAGTGGATTAAAGAAGTAGGCTCAACTTTAACCTATTTCGTGAACTGATTATCAGTGGCTGAGAGTAAAGGAGTAAGGCTGTAAGCAAAATGGTTCAATTCCATTTCGTACGACCTACTCCTTTACTCTCAGCCACTGATAATCAGTTCACGAAATAGGTTAAAATTGAGCCTACTTCTTTAATCCACTACTCCTACTGCCATTGTAGACCACGCTTAAGAGTAATTGTGAAAGAAAATTGATCAGATCGTATTCAATTATTCTTCTTGTGGTTGAGTGAGTACACATTTCTTAGACTCGGTTACACCAATGTTATTTTGGCTTTAAGCGAGACTCAAATCTATTCATCTTTATCTTTCTTTCTAAATAAAGATAGACATATATTTAAGTCTCGCTTAAAGCCAGAATAACGTTGCAATCGGACCTTACAGAATTATAGTTACAGTCCAAAATTTGTTATATGTCAAGACCTTTACTGTAGCAGTTTGCAATTTCATCTCTCGTACTAAATCTCACATGTACATTTGTAGTATTTAAAGTGTAGCATGTATTTAACTATACTAATTACACCTTCAGCGACATGATAGCATTTCTCATGCTTATTACATATATTCAATCCATTCTTTTACAAAAATTATATCTCACTTTGGTACAGTGAGACAGGTATCATAGTAATATATAGCTCAATTAAATTCAGTTTTATTTTCTTTATAAGTATAACATTCAATATAAGTTTGATAATTTCCAAATAGCACTTAAAAAATAATTTAATTAAATTTGAAATTACATTTATAAATAAATTGATAAAATTTATTTTGACTGCTCCCATTATTACAAAAATAGTCTTACTTACAGAATGGAAGGAAAGAAAACTCGAAATTATGTTCTCGTTAAATTCATAGAAGATTTGAAGGAGGCAGGCGAATCAGAAGCCATAGATATAGTTCCCAAAGCTTGGCTACGTTACAATAAAGAAACAAAAAAATTAGTTACTCCTTTCCCCCCTCCTCCGTATACCTTTCAAAAAATAAAGGATTTACAGAACAAGGTGACAAGTCTTCAAGAAGCTGACAAAAAATGGTCAATGTATCCGATAAATGTTGTTGGCCATGCAAGTAAGTAAATAGAATAATAATATTTATTATTTTACAGTAAAAGTATAGCAGGTATGCTTTTTATTTCCTTTATATGCAGGTTCATATGAAGAGGCTTCATGCAGGCTAAACAAGTTTCAAGAAGAACCCTATACATTTACTGATGCAGAAAACCCAGAGCAAGTCTCAAATATGATAATGCAAGAAATTAAAGATCTATATAACTCAAGCGGTTCTGAAGTATTATCATTGAGTGAAGATGACAGTGAGACAGGTATCATAGTAATATAATATTTATAAATGAAATTTGATATTAGTTAAAAAGTGCTTTACTCTTTTCTTACAATTAAAAAAACCTTTAAACTTATGACTATAATATATATATATATATACAGGGTGT